TTTCTTACAACCCCTTTTAATTCTGTGGAACCAGCTGTTACTCCTCCTCTTTCACTTCTGATTTTACTTATTTGGGTTTTCTCTATCTTTTTCTTAATGAGTCTGGTTAAAAGTTTGTTAATCTTGCTTATCTTTTCAAAGAATCAGCTCTTGATTTCATTGATCTTTTCTATGATTCTTTTAGACTTTGTTTCATTTATTTCTGTTCTGATCGTCATTATTGCCTTCCTTCTACTCATTTTGAGCTTTGTTTGTTCTTCTTTTTCTAGTTCCTTTAGGTGTCAAGTTAGATTATTTGTTTGCGATTTTTCTTGTTTCTTGTGGTAGGCCTATAATGCTATGAATTTCAGACTGCTTTCCCTGGGCCCACTAGATTTTGGGTTGTCTTCCTATTCTCATTGGTTTCCAGGTAGCTTTTGATTTCTCTCATGATCTCATTCTTAACACATTCATTTGTTTAGTAACATGTTATTTAGTTTTCATATTTTGTGTTTTTCAGTTTTTTTCTTGTGATTGATTTCTAGTTTCATACTATTATGGCCACAGAAGATATGTGATATGATTTCAATCTTGTTTATTGAGACTTGTTTTGTATCCTAAAATGTGATCTATCCTCTGAAATGTTCTACGTGCACTTGAAAAGAATATATACTCTGCTGTTTTGGTGTGAAATGCTCTGAAGATATCGGTTAAATCCATCTGATCTAGTGTATCATTTAAGGCCACTGTTTCCTCATTGATTTCTCTCTGGAAGATCTATCCATTGATATCAGTGGGGTGTTAAAATCCCCAATTATGACTATTTTCTGTTGCTCTCTTTCTTTACGTACTTCAAGATTTTCTTTATATATTTAGGTTCTCCCATGTAGAGTACATAAATATCTACAAGGGTTATATCCTCTTGGATTGAGCCCCTTAGCACTATGCAATGCCCTTCTTTGTCTCTTGTTATGTCCTTTATTATGAGGTCTCTCTGATATGACTATTTCTATCCCAGCTTTTTTTTTCATTCCCATTTGCATGAAACATCTTTTTCCAACCTTTTACTTTTAGTCTGTGTATATCTTTCATTCTGAGGTGAGTTTCTTGTAGGCAGTGTTATGGGTCTTATTTTCTTATGCATTCTGCTACTCAGTACCTTTTGACTGGGTCATTTAAGCCATTTACATTTAAAGTAATTATTGATAGGTACATGTTTATTGCCATTTTATTCTTTATAAATATGTTCCTTTGTTTTTTCTTTTCCTTCTTCTTCTTAAAGTAGACCCACTATCTATTCCTTCTAGTGTATTCTTCATTTCTGTTTCTTTTTTATGGTTTCTATGTCCTTTTTAATGCTTACTATCTCCTTGTTGAAGTTCTCACTAAGTTTCTTAAGCATCCTTACAACCATTTTCTTGAATTCTATATCTGGTAAATTTCATGCCTCCATTTCATTTAGCTCTTTTTCTGGAGATTTCTCCTGTTCTTTCATTTGGGACATATTTCTTTGTCTTTTCATTTGTGTACTCGTGTCTATGTGTTAGGTAGATTTGATATGACTCCCAGTCTTTGCAGGGTGGCCTGATGTAGCAGGTGGCCTGTGGGACCAAGTGGCACGATTTTCTTGATCACCTGAATTGGGTGTCCAGGGAATGTCCCTTGTGTGGACTATGTGAGCCCTTCTGCTATAATTGAGTCTTAATTGATATTGGCCTGTTTGTGTGTGGGGTTGACCCTCAGACTGGTTGACTGTCAGGACTGACCCCAACCACAATGTAGGAGCTGCTGTACAGGTGCCAACCACACAGCAGAATTCACCTCAGCAGGGTCTGGTGCCTGCTGAGATCTGCCTTTGGACATGCTGCTTGTGAAGCTAATTGGATCCTACTCTGATGTTTTCTGAAGCTCACTACTGGGTGTGTTGGTTCTGCGGCCTCTTGGGAGGGTCTCTGGTGCTGGCCACTGTCAGATGCTGGCAGTGACTAGCACTGAGCCACCTGTTTGGAGCTACATAGAGATCCACAGTTTGTGGCTGCCTCTGCTGGGCCTGGGTGTGTGCAGGAAGCACCAAGCTGTGCACCAACCCTGGCTTTTACCAACATTAGGCCCAGGCATGTCAGCAAAAGTCCCATGGCACCCTGAGATCTCTTCTACCTGCCTCTACCTAACAGCTACCTGACAGGCTCAGTCACTGAAAGAGCCTCTGATGGTACTGCAGTTACATGAGGTAGATTCTCAGTGAGTCACCAGGTAGGGGGCAAGTGGTGTTCACCAGACTGATAGAGGTTCAAAGTCAGTGCCAATGCTTGGTCTAATGCCACTCAGCAAATGCCCTAGGGTATACCAAATCTAGCTGCCACCTGCTGGTTGACTGGGGCAGGGTCTCAGGGAGTCATGACAGTGAGACCAGGAGAGTTTATTAAACCCAGACAGACCAAAATTTGGCCTCATGAAGGGATTCCTCTGTATTGACCAGGCATGTGACGAATAAATGGCACCTGTTCTAGAGCCACACAACTCAGTGGTCCAAGATTCTGCCAAGAGCCCTAGCTCAACAGGGTAGGGCTGCTGGGAGTCAAAACGGTGGGGCTAGTGGATTTCCCTTGAGACAGAGGTGCCAGTCAGGTTTGGGAGGACATGGGAAGAGAGGCCCACATACTAGAAGCCATACAACTCAGTTCTTCTGGGATTCTGCCCAGACCTCAGCAAGGCAAGGCCACAACTAGATGAAAGGCTGGGGCCACCTGGAATATGGAGGGTGGGAGTAGAGGAACTCCACTGAAAAGGAAGTGCCAATCGGGTTCATGGGAAAGTGGGGGAATGGCCCCAGCCCCAAAGCCACACCCCTGTCATTGACACTTCCTGGGTCTGCATAGACCTCTACACCTTGGCTCAGGGCATGAGCTCCACAGGGTGGGGGAAGAGAGAGTCCAGTCGGTGTAGGTATTGTATTCCCCCAGGCTGGTGCCATAAGGAGAGGCATGATCTCCCTAAGAAAGGTGATATCTATGGTGTGGGACAGTGATCAGCACAGGGGTCCCAGCAGCTGCCCCCTCAGCTCTCTCCCCAGGGCCACAAACCTCAGTTCTCCTCACTCTACTCCATTCTGCTCCATCCTTCCTCCCCTGCAGCACAGGGTGGGCAGATACAAACAAGACTTTGTGTGTTGGCCCTTTAAGATGATGCCTGTGTCTCTAGAAGTCTACTCTCTCTCCTTGGCAGACAGAATCCCTGCTGATTATCACAGGCAGGGATTATGTGTGTATCTCTTCCTGTCTCTGGTACTCTGGGCTGGGGATCTTGGCTTGGAGTTGAGACCCCAGCCCCTCGGGGGGAACCTTGGAAGCTGAGACATTCCTCCAGAATCTCAGCCACCACCTATGGGAGTGGGACCAGCCCTTTTCACGTCTTCACTCTTTCTACCACTCTTAATGTGGCTTCTTCTATAAATCCTTGTTTATAGGATTTCTATTCAACTGGTATTCAGTTGGTTATTCAGGCTGATTGTTCTATAATTTAGTTGTAATTCCAGTTTGGTCCTGGGAAGAGGTGAGTGTAACAACCACCCAGTATGCCACCATCTTGGATTTCTGTTTTCTCAACATCTGAAACAAAATTTCATTATAGCCATCTGACTCCAGAAGGGCCTACTGAGATCTTGCTTTTCTATTATCCCTGTGGCTATGACCCCAGGGCTGATTGGTTCATGCCTCAGTCCAGGAAGCAGGCAATTTGGGAAAGAAGAAAAGAGTACTGAACCCAAAACAAAAATGTGCAAGGTCCTGAGTCAGGACAAGTGCAGGGGGTTGTTTCTCCACCGCTACTCCCTTTTTCCTTCATCCAGTTGGTCTCCTTAAACAAAATACAAGTCTGAAATTCCTGAAAACTTTGTTTTTAATTTACTAAAAGAAGTTATTTTATATAAGAAGCTTAAAATAATATGAAGCTATTTCCAGAATTTTAATAACTACCAATAAAGTAAATTTGATCCAGAAACCTTATAAGAACAGTTCATTGTGCACTTCACGCCATGTGAAGTAAACACCTATTCAGTGAGTGCCTGGAATGTGTCAAACACTGTACTGGGATATTTTATTTGAATTATCTGATCCAACCCTCACAATCCTTAGTCATAAATTCCATCCCTTTCTTTACAGATATCCTCTCTAAGACTCAGAGAGTGGTTACTTGCCAAAGTTATTTAATCTGCAGCTAGTATATAGTCTAGAGCCAGGGGTGTCAAACTCATTTTCACCCGGGGCCACATCAGCCTCGTGGTTGCCTTTAAAGGGCCGAGTGTAATTTTGGACTGTATAAGTGTAACTACTGCTTAACAGTTAAGCAAGAGCTCGGGACTGCTGCTGGGTAGAAACAAGGTGCTGGGCCGGATAAAACAAGATGGAGGGCCGGGTCGGCCTGTGGGCCTTGTGTTTGCCACCTGGCAAACCTGTGGTAGGCCTTCCCCTAGGACTATTTAATTTTCAAACTTAACTTAAAAAAACTCCAAATATTGCACATAAACTGTAGTTTAAAGCTCGGTTTAAAATTCATAGGGTCCTCAGTGTGAGTCCTTTCTCAGGCAATAACTAGTTGTATGGACCTTAAATAAATATTTCTCCCTGTGTTAGTTTCCTTACCTATAAAATGGAAAAAAAAAGTCCTACTTCACAGAGCTTTGAAAGGATGAAATAAGATAATTCACATAATAAGTGCAAGAACTATTAGCTATTGACATGATCTCAAATGTCAAGCTGGTTCCAAATGGAATAAATACAACAATTACATACAAATATTGCTCTCAGCTGTTTAGAGGTTGAATTTCCACATGTGTATGCTATTTTACCCTTCAATTAGTTCTTCTTCAGTCAATGTAGTAAAACTTTTGATGGAAACACACGCACACACACACACATATATATGAAGCATGTGCAGTTAATGAATCTGCATGTACCATCTCTGCAGACTCATGTTATCTCTTGAACACAACTCCCTGTTCCCAGGCAACCTATTTCGCTCACCTGCTCTGGATACTTGCTACCGGTGATCTCTGCTACAGTGTTGAAGGAATCAGCATCTGCATAATTCTTTGCCCCCATCTTCAGCTGGATGACAATTCTGCTGCCACGAGAAACCATTCTTGACATCATTTCTGCATCTTCCACTGTAATACAGGCTGTCGGGATTTTGGGCACACCATCCTGGTATTCCTGAACACCTGTGTGAGGACTTGAGAAAATAAACCACCAGGTTACCTTCGAGGCAGAAACAAACCACGAGTATTGTTTTAAGTGTCTGTATTTGACACTTGACTTTCACTGATTTTTGTTTGCATGTGAGGAATAGGACAAGTGGGCAATATTGTTTTATTTGCTTTTGATGTAAACACAGTGTTTCTCGTTGAGAAAATAAATTAGAAACTTCAGTTTAATAATTGTCTCATAGAAAACATTACAAGAAATTTATTTTGATAATTTGGATGATTCTTTAAAGTTGCAAACTGCCTCAACCTTGGAAGAATGTTAAGAGTGCCTTCGTGACCAAGAGGTGAACATGTGGGTTCCAGCAGATAAAGGGAGCTCTGAAGTCCATCACGGCTGCAGACCCACACGTCTGAGAGAAAACTGGCCCAGATACACCCAGCTCTCTGGTCACTGACTGGCTCTGGGGCTACTGGCTTCCCACTCAAACACTGAGGTCCGAATATGTAGCCTTGATTGTTGGTAGAACACTATGCAGAAAACTGTAGAACAATAGGAAATGTTTGTGTTCCCATGAAGGAAAGTGGTGAATAAACCCAATTGTACTGCTATTTTTTAAAAAGAAAACTATTACACTTTTGGCTCTAAAGGAGAAATATTACTCCAATGTGTCAACTTTTTCCTGCTAATTTCCAGATGCTTCTTACATTACTAGCAACACTTGTAAATGAAGTTTATATTAATCTGTTGATTCAACCTCTATGTGCTAATTGAGTTTATCAAATGTATTTTCTAAAATGGCTCTTTCAAACTGTCCCTTTTCATGCTGCCAGACCACAACTCCCTCAGGACCAAGTGGGCACAGCATCTGAGTACATACTTCATCATATCATCTCTCCCCATCTTCTGTCAAAGCACAAGCTAGGAGCCTCCCTTTTAAAATTAAGTTTTCTTGGCAATGGCAGGGTAGCTCAGTTGGTTAGAGTGCTGCCTTGATACACCAGGATTGAAAGTTTAATCCCCAGTCAGGGCTCATATAAGAATCAATTAATAAATGCATAAATAAGTGGAACAACAAATAGATGTTTATCTCTCCCTCTCTAAAAAAATCAATAAATAAAAATTAAAAATTGAGCTTTTTTCATATTTGTTTCTGATTGTCTCATATGTACAGAAAAGCCTTTCTCCTTTCAACCACAATAAAATTCTCTCCAATCAAACTGACTCCAACCTCCACATGCATAAACACAATAGCCCACTATCATTGCTTTCTGGGTGGGACTGTATTTCTGTGACCATATGTCAGATGACTATTTACTTACTTAGAAAAAATGCATAACAATAATTAATAACAGGCTCAGGAGCAAACTTTCTGGGTTCAAATCTGGTCTCTGTCACTTATTGTTAATTGACCTTGGGTGAGTTAAATATATTTGCTTTAGTGGTTTCATTTAGAAATAAAGGTGATAATAATAATACCTATTTCAAAGACTTATTTTATACATTTGCTTAATTTTTACAAGTAAATCACTTACTTTGGAACATAGTAAGCACTCAATAAATGTTAAATATTTATTTTAGTAACTTGCTCACTACATTATTCCTATTAAGTCTGTGTAGTCTCAAGTCCTTAGTTGCATCTGAGAACACCATTTATGAATATTTCTTAAATGTTGACTCAATATGTTATTCTTTGTCAAGAGAAAGACAGATCACTAGTAAATTCAAGACTCATAATACAGAAACCCTGAATCGGAATCCCTCTGTGGGATATGTCTGATCTGCTCTAATTTCTGCTTCAGGGTGAGCTGTGGAGTCACATAACCTAGATTAGCTCCTGGCTCTACCATTCTCCACCTGCCTGACACCAAGCCACTTAGATGACCTCTCTGTTCCTGAGTTTCCACATCTGTAAAGTGGAAAATAGTGTCAGTATTGACTTCATTAAATTACTATGAGGAATAAAAGAGATAGAATATGCAAAGGATTTAAAACAGGGCTTTGCACACAGTAATTATTTTGTAAACATCAGTTGTTATTATTATTTCTTCAGTGCTAATTTTTCCCTCTGAAATGGTAGAGTGATTGATGACCAAAAGTACTTTGAAACAGGTAGGGAGACAATCTACATATTTATTATTCATATTACCTTACATGATGTCTGAGATTCAACAAACTGTCCTTGTTCTCAGACTCTCTTATTCAAGAAGAGGTCCATATAACACTTCTGAATAGGCTCTTTAAATTATGTTTCTGAACAAATCTGTACCAACAAGTTACAGCTAAGTGTTCCCAAAGAGGGGACAGTGAGCCAGCCAGGCGTGCACCCAGGGCTCCAGTGAGGAAAATGGCACTGAGAGGCATTTTCCAACTGTGGTTCTGCAGTCAAGACATAAAAGCCTTATAATTTGTGTAGCTAAGCATGTCCCCCAGTGGTAGAGTGTGTAGCCCTCTTTCTAGAAGTAGGCAGAATAAAGAGTCAGTGGTTTTGTTTGGAGTCCTGTACTTTCACTGTCAATTGCCCAACAGAGAATGATCAGCATGAATATCACCTTTCTGACCCGTGTGCAACTGAACAATAGCAAAGGTCAAATTACAAAGAAAACCATAAAAATCAAAATAAATACACTTAAAGATTAACACCAATTTTTTTACAAATGCTTCCATAAAATACAAGATGAGGTTAACACTTCCAACTCATTCTGCAAGATCACTATTACTAATATCAAAATCAGAGACATCACACAAAAACTATAGACCAATGTCTCTTATGAATATAAATACAAAAAATCCTCAACAAAATACAAGGAACCTGATAGCAACAACATATGAACATATGAAAAGGATTATATCCCATGATGAAGTTAGATTTATCCTAGAAATACAAAGTTGATTTAACATCCAAAAATCAATCCAAACAAAGTTGGTAAACTCCTATTTCCAAATATCAAAACTTACTACAAAGCTATGGTAATCAAGAAAGTGTGGCACTAGTATGAAATATAGGTTGAGAGTAGAATTGAGTCCAGAAATCAACCTTTATAAGAATAGTTGATTCATTTTAACAAGGTGCCAACATTATTCAATAGAAATAGAAAAACATTTTCAACAAATATCTGGAGACAACCAAATAGTCACATGCAAAAGAATAAAGGTGTACTCCTATATTAAAAATATACAAAAATTAATTCAAATGAATCACAGATCTAAATATAAGACTTAAGCTATAAAATGTCACAACCTTGAGTAAAGAAAGTCCTTAGATACAACACCAAAATTAAATGCAACAACAGAAAAATTGGATAAATTGAACTATCATTATTGTAAACTTTTGTTTTTCAAAAGACATCTTTGAGAAGTGAAAAGGCAGTCCACAAAATGGGAAGATTTAAAAACCATGTATCTGATAAGGCACTTTTATCTAAGAGCTCTTAATTCAATAATAAATGGGGAAAGAATTTGAATAGTTTTTCTCTATAAGGGAAATGCAAATCAAAACCACAGTGAAATGTCACTTCACATCCACTAGGATGGCTATCATTAAAAAGACAGATAAAAAGTATTGGCAAGGATGTCAAGAAATTCGATCACTTGTACATTATTAGTGAAAATGTAAAAGGTGTAATCACTTTGAAAACTGAATTTACACTTCCTTAAAAAGTTAAACATCTAGTTATCATATGATCCAGCAATTCTACACCCACGTATCTACTCAAGATAAATGAAAATATACATTCACACAGAAATTTGCACACATATGTTCATGACAGTATTATTCACAATACTCAAAAGGTCAAAATAACCCTTATGTCCATCAACTGATGAATGGGTAAACAAAATGTGGTATACCCATACAAGGAATATTAATCAGCTATAAAGAAATAATGTCCTATCCAAAGAAATCCAAAACACAAATTTGAGAAAATATACGCATACATATGTTCCTCATAGCATTATTTACAATCACCAAAATATCGAAGCAACCTAAATATCCTTCAATAGACATTTGAATAAAGAAGATGTGACATATATATTTAATGAAACACACTCAGCCATAAAAAAATAATGAAATCTTATCATTTGCAACAACATAGATGGACCAAGAAGACATTATGCTAAGTGAAATAAGTCAGAGAGAAAGACAATTACCATATGATTTCACTTCTATATGGAAGGAATTTAAAGAACAAAATAAATAAACAAACAAAATAGAAAGAGACTCATAGCTACAGTGAACAAACTGATAACTGCCAGATGGGAAGAGGGTTGGTTAGAAGGCTGGGTGAAAAGGTGAGAGTATTAAGAAGTACAAATTGGTAGTTACAAAATGGTCATGGAGATATAAAGTACAACGGAGGGAATTTAGTCAATAATATTGCAGAGACTATGTACGGTATACCATTTGGGTACTAGAAATACAGGAAGGAACACTCTGTAAAGTACATAACTGTCCAACCACTATGCTGCACACCTGAAACTAGTAAAAAATAATATTGAATTAAGAGATAATTTGGAAAAAAGTAAAAAATTAACAAAATCAAGAAAAAAAATAAGAAATGATATCCTTATACATGCAACAACATGGATAAACCTTGAAAACATCATCTTAAGTGAAAGAAGCCAGTCACAAAAGGCCACATATGATAAGATGCTTTCATCTATGAAATGTCAAGAACAGTCAGATCCATAGAGGTGGAAGGATAATTTTAAGTTGCCTAGAACTAGTTGGGGTGGGGCAGTAAATGGGGAGTGAATGCCAACAGGTATGGGGTTTCGTTCTAGGATGACAAAAATATTCCAAAATTAGGTGGTGTTGGTGGTCGCACCACTCTGGATATACTTAAAACACCAAACTGTGATTGTTAAAGGGGTCATTTTTTTGTATATAAATTATATTCCAATAAAACTTCTACCATAAAGAAAGTAAAAATTTTAAGGTTTCAGATTTCTCTTAAAGGAGAAAATCCTGGTATCTTTTCATTAAAAAATAATGCTTCCACGGGCCCGGATGACAGGATGTCTGAAAAC